TTGGGTAGGAAATCATGACCCTATCATTTCACCCTCTCACTTTCCGTGCCAACTCATGCAGAAAAAAAAAATCGGAATTGAGTTTTTATTTATTTTTATATATTAGAGTATCGAGAAATATTCATCGTGTTATTATTATTATATTAAAATTTTAATATTTTTTATTTTTTAAAAGATTAATCATCAATTTGATTCGATCTGACTTGTTCATGACACCGTAAGATACCTAATCTTCTTGTCTGAATCAATCGTCAAGTTTGTGACTCTACACGTGGAAGATTTTTCATATGTACTTGGAAGATCATATAATACGATCTGGTCAACTTTAAAGTACTCTTACTCCCAACCATTTAGGTTTTATTATGATTATTAGTATTGATAGTGTCACTAAAAATTCTCCAAGCTAATTAATGAGCTCCAATGATATGTCAGAACATATAGTAATCATATGATCCACATGACAATCTAACAATCATATCGAACCACAATTTACAAGTAACATGCTGGCCACATGCAAACATCAACATCATCATCATCGTTCGATCAACATGTTGGCAAGGAATTGATGCGACCAATGCTTTTATTTCTTGTGGAAGGTCACAAATTTGTCACTTCAATGCAAACCTAATATTGCGTGATTTGAAGGATTCTACTAATATTTTCACTATCAATCCACATTACGTTTGTTGAGACTATGTTTTCGAGTTGGAACATTTGGTAAGGGCAGGTGGATGTCATCAAAATGACATTAATATTTATATGTACATCTTTTATTAATTCACTATTATCAACATCCACATAATATTTATTATAACAGAATTCTAATACTATGTTCCTATTGTAGCATCTTGAAATAAATAACAATTTAAATAGTTTTATTTATTTGTTTTTGTCCAACTCAATCTCACTTTTAGTATTGAAGAAAATAATAATCAAAATTATAAATATTTCAAGTTCGATGATTGTAAAGAATCTCTACAAGTCCAAAAATAATAAAATTATTATTATTATTATTTAAGATGGAAATCTCTAAACCAACCATAAGTCGTAATGTTTCAATTATTTGGAATCGACTACATAAATATTTTATTGTCGCTGAGCTTTATAGAAAGTGATACAATATTTTTTTCAAGCTCTATTAGAACTTGACTAATTAAGGCTAAAATACAAGATTTCATGCACAAGAGGAATTTGGATTGCTAATTTACAAGATATCCTAATTCAGAGTCAATCTTCTTACCAAGTAAGATACAAAAGTTCCAACTATTTATCATACCAAACTATCATAGATTCAAGGAGATTGAATTAGAGCCATCTCTCTTCTAATTATAGGAATTTAAGCCTATTATCCACATGTCCAAAGACTGGGAAAAGTTCCCACTTGTTTTCTCCTCTGACCAGGTAAAATTGATCCATGTGTTGCTCTGATCAAGTCCAAGTCAAGATATGTTTGCTCAGCATTCAGCATCACACTGCACTACACAAAAGAAAGAGTAAATGCAGTAGCAAGTCTTAATGTGACATGATCTGACTTGATCAAAGAATGCATAAGTTAGGTTTGGGATTATTTTTGGTTTACACCAAAGTGTTGTATCTTTGACTAGTTCTTCCTCAACTTATGGGAGTTGACTTGCCACCTTGGATACACATAGATAGGATGTCAACATGCACCCCATGATTTGAATGAGTAGGGGTTGCTTGAGGTGCCACCAACTTGACTTTTGCATCCACATGTGCCACTGGAGGGCTACTGACTACCCACAAAAACAAGAATTAGATGGCCAAGATTGGTGAGGCCTTATGTTGATGGGCAAAAGGAAGAAGGAAAATTGAGCTTGGTAATTGTGTGTGTTCATGAGTTTGACCTTTTCCAAAGTCAAACTAATCAGAATCCAGTGGGGTGAATTCACCTTCCATCTCTACTGTGTTTTTGTTGATATTTGCTTGGTTGTGGGGAATTTAATCTAAGGTTGGAAGTGGGTGCAAACTCCATATGGTCAATTAATCAAACAGGTGTTGGGCACACTAGGGGCGTGGAGTGGGTCGGGCGTCTGTTGTTTGGGTAGTTGGTCTCTGTGATTGGCTTCCACGACACATGATGCATACATTTCCACACGCAACAACTGGTCCAAGCATCCCATGTCGACCTCGGTCCTCACAAAGAAGAAGACCGAGAGGAAGAAGAAGCAGCAGCCCGGATGCCCGCTCTATGACACCATAAAAGCTCGGATCCCAACTCAACCATCACGACCACAGAGACCTCTTCCTGCATGGCCTCGATGAACAGGACCATCTCCGTGACGAGGCTGTCGCAGAAGCTGGTCGTCCCGGCGGAGCCGACGCCGACCGGCACCCTCCGGCTCTCGTGGCTCGACCGCTACCCGACGCAGAGAGCCCTGATCGAGTCCCTCCACGTGTTCGACCGCAGCGACGGCGACCCCGCGGCAGCGATTCGCGGCGCCCTGGCCAAGGCCTTGGTCCACTACTACCCCCTCGCCGGCCGGCTCACCGTGTCGGAGCAGGGGGAGCTCCAGGTCGCCTGCAACGAGGCCGGGGTGTGGTTCATCGAGGCGTCCGCCGACTGCCGCCTGCGGGAGTTGGACTACCTGGAGCACCCGTTGATGATATCCAAGGACGAGCTCCTGCCTCGTCCCCAACCCCAGCTGGAGCAGGCGGAGGAGGAAAGCCTCGTTTTGATGGTCCAGGTGCCATTTCTTCTTCCTCAATCTGAAATCGATATGGATCCCGCAACAATTAGATCTCAATCGGGCCAATGAACCCCACCCCCCACCACCCCCAGTGTTCTGATTCTTCGCAAACCCTTGATCTCCCTCTCAAAGGAATGGTTTTGCTGAGCAATCCGATCTATCTGTTCCTGCCCGTTCCTCTTCACTTCTCCCCTAGATCCTGCAACAGGTAGATCTTAATCCTCCATCACCAAAGAAGCCCTTAATTGCAAGGAAGGAATCTGCCCTCCCGTCACAATCTTCCATTGAATCAAATGACTTCACAAGAAGTAGATGGACATTTACCAGCTAAAGCGGAAGAGGAAGACGCTGTTGTTGCTCAAAGTCTTGTGCTTTCTTACCAATTGCAGCTGACCAACTTCACATGCGGTGGATTCGTGGTGGGCTTTCGGTTCAGCCACGCCATCTCCGACGGGCCAGGAGCAGCTCAGTTCTTCAACGCCATCGCAGAGATGGCGAGGGGCCTCGCCAAGCCCAGCGTCGAGCCGGTCTGGTGCAGGGACGCCATCCCTAACCCCCCGAAGTTCATCTCGGGGCCCTGCGCGCTCCCCACCGACGTCCACCTACAGTACCTGATCATGGACATCCCCCTGGACTACATCGGCCATCTCAAGAACCAGTTCTTCGACCAGACCGGCGACCGGTGCTCCAGCTTCGAGGTCCTGATCGCCAAGGTCTGGCAGTGCCGGACGCGGGTCATCGGGCTCGACCCTGACGTCGACGTCCACCTATGCTTCGCCATGAACACGCGCCGCCTGCTGCACCAGGTGCTGCCCGCCAACGGCAGCTACTACGGCAACTGCTACTACATCATGAAGGTGACGACGGCGAGCAGGACGATCGCCGGCTCCTCGATCACCGACATCGTGAAGCTGATCAAGGACGCCAAGAAGAAGCTGCCGGCGGAGTACGCCAAGTGGGCCAAGGGCGAGCTGAAGGAGGACCCGTATCAACTGACGTCGGCGTACGAGTCGCTGCTGGTGTCGGACTGGACCCGGCTGGGGTTCGCCGAGATCGACTACGGCTGGGGCCCGCCGGTGCACGTCGTCCCCCTGACCAACGCCGACTACATCGCGACGTGCATCCTCGTGAAGCCGTCGGTGCCGAGGCCCGGCGCCCGGTTGATGACGCAGTGCGTCACCAAGGACCAGGTGGCGGCGTTCCGGGAGGCCATGATGAGCCTGACCTGAGCTCCCGGCGCAGGGAGAGGGACGCCTGTCCGAGCTCGACGGGACAATAAGATTCGTTGACGGATTCTTTGCGATTACGTGTTCTCTGTGATTTCTCGGTTTGGTGTCGGTTGAAAGAAACATGACGTTTGTGTGCATCGAATTGTGCGTGTTGGGATGTGATACTACGTTTGGGCGTGATGCCCTTTTGGCTATGCATGCCGACACTCTGTCACATCGAGTGTTTGCGTTGGTGGTGGTCCACACACCCACTTTTGTTCCCAGCTCCGATACTTGCGGCGAAGAGGAAACCACTCGCTCGTGCGTTTCACGTGGTAAATGACAGACGAAATGAGCGAGTTCAATTTCGAACCGGCCTTGATTCCGGAGTGGGATCGAATTAATCCGTTGGGCCGGCTCAATTAATCCGTTGGGCCGGCTCAATCAAAGGACAAATATATATATAACAGAGTGAAAATTAGGTGAATTCCATTAGGATATCATTCATTTTACCTAACATCTAAAATATTCAACTACAGTATTTTTGCACTATATTATAGTGTTTTAAATAATACCAAAAAATTATTATAACATAGTACAAAAATACTACGATATAGTGCTTTTATGTAAATTTTATAATGAATTTTTTATATTATCTTATATTATTTTCAGCAATACTAATAAAAACACCATGAACTGATTTCAATAAGATTTTGGGAATGCCGTATACGTGTCGCACCGCCTAATAATAGCAATAGTACCCGCGTTACCTACCTGCCTTGTGTGTCGGACGCCAATGGGCCCGCCGTAGATTAACAGGCAGGCGCGTATGCCGCGGAACAACCCGAGCAAAGGTGATCCGACGCCATCAGTTGACGTAACGCGTTTTGATCACTGGCCACGCCGATGAACCGACTTAGTCTCCGTGACGTACCCGATCGTCTCTCCCATAAGTGGGAACGCCAGTGGGGCCAACCAAAACACCTGTACAAAGGTGGGAACGGGTAGAAACGTATTTAGTCGATGTTTGTGGCAAATAGACGCTATCGTGGCTCGCGAAGACGTTATCTGTTTACCGTCTCTCTCTCTTTCGGCTCCGCGCTGCCTCCTCGTCTTCCTCGAAACCCTAAAATTCGACTGTTGTGATCATTTTTCTTATTTTCTGGGCCGATTTCCTACCGGCAGTATCACAAATTCCAATCTCTTTAATCGATCGTCTCATCCTTGTCGTGATTTTTTGTTTCTTTCGAATTTGTCCTGCCTGTGAAATTGTCGTATTTCCTTTTTGTTTTGTAAGTAACCTGTTCCGAAGTTGTCACCCAAATCCAAGCTGCATTCGTTTAATTCGCTTACCCAAGTGTCGATCTCGAGTTCGTTGATCTTTCGCCGAAGAGTTTGTCCAGGTTTGGGGTTCTTGATTCCGCGTGATTAGCGAGTTTTTGTTGATCTTGAAACCGTAGGCTGGATTTGATTTGGCGTCGCGAACGGGAGATATGGTCGGAGGTGGCAGCAGGAGGGACGATGGGCCCTTGAATATTAGCAGCACCAACGTTTTCGCAGCGCTCGAGACCCTCAAGAAGAAGAAGAAGTCCAGCAAGGAGTCGAAAGGCAAAGGGTCGTCCAAGAGCCAGGCGAAGGAGCCGGAACCGCAGGTGTTTTGGGCACCGACGCCGCTGACGGTGAAATCTTGGGCCGATGTAGATGATGACGATGATTATTTTGCGACTACGGCACCGCCTCAGTCTGTTTGGGGCTCGTCGGGGCAGCAGCAGCAGCAGCACAAGAAAGCTGCGGCAGTCGTAGAGGAGGTTAGTGTTCCGTATATCTGTTTTCTATGCTATTACACTTTTGAATTCGACGGAAGACAACTGCTATTGGAAGCATTTCTCAGATCTTATCTTCTTTAGTGTTTGTTTCTGGATGTTTTTCTCAAATTGTTGTCGTTTCCAACACGTTGTATTATTTCTCTAATTTGGGGCTCAATTGCAGATGTCATGTTCTTTTCTTTTGTTTCATCAGTAGTCTTTTTTTGGCTGACTATGAGGACTACTATTTTGCAGTCATTGCTAGCGGATAATATATAGAAGTTTACCTTTTAGGACTAATACTTTATCTGTTCTAAACATCTGATCCTTAAGTGGAATTTTTATATGATGTCTAATCTACTTATTTTCCTATATCCTTCTTTGAGATTCTACTGAATTCTTTCATACAGGTGAATGTTCCATTAACTCAGTCATAATCCAAATTGGAAAACGCTGATTGATATTTCAGTGTATTATTACCATCTGTCAGAAAGCCAGTGGCTCAAAATAGTTGTCGGGTCACATCAACCTATTCATTTCTGCTTATCTAGTCGGTTCCTCTTTAGTCTGGAGACAGATCGCAAATGTATTAATTATTATATGAAATCATTCGAATAAATGTTCCATAAATAATCATTTGACTGCTTATCTGCTGTATTCTGTACTTCATTTTTCATATCCTGTCTTATATTTGGCTTCAAGGAGGTGCCAGATTCGGACTGTGTTTAATTTTGTTCTTTGTACCCAGGCTTTAAGAGACACCTTAGTGCTTCTCCAGCCTTGGTCAATTATGAATTCCTGTGGCTCACAGGTTGCATTGCCTAGTCATAATTCAAATTATTATTGTAAACCATCCTTAACTATGCATCTTTAAGATTTTTGATTTAATAGTTATTTAGAGTAGGATAAGAAGGCACTAATCCTACTTAAGACTGTGAAGTTGTTGGCAACCTTTAGTAAGTAGAAATCCTATAATACTTATATATATATATATATATATATATATATATATATATATATATATATATATATATATATAATGTATATGTATATGTATTTAAAAGGATAGATAAGTTCGAAAAATAATTTCTTATAAATGCAAAAGTTAATAAAAATATCTGCCTGAAAAATATTCGGCAGACAATGTGGTTGTAAATGCGAAAGTAAAAAAAAATGATTGTGTTCTAAAAGTTAAAACTTTTTATGGAGTATTATCTGCCAAAAATGTGGAAGTAACTAGAGTAGTTTATGTTTTCTGGATAATTAAGATCAATTAGATATGGACTTAATGTGTAAGTTTTTTGACAGTGCATGAGTATTTTTCCAGGTTTATGGGCTTCACATACTGTATAGCCTATTTGCTTGTCAGGAATGATCTCAAAGAATAAGAATTTTATTATTTTGCTGATTTGTACTTGAGGTGGCATCCTTGAAACTGCCTGAATTCCTTTCTGATCAAATGATGTTTGCTATTGCTGCTATTGTTTTATATGAATGTTGTTGATACATGTTTCTTAGTCTGTGGAACAATATGTAAAATGTATATACTTCTGATTTACTGATTGTTAGATGATCTGCTACTTATCTCATAGTTCTGAGAATATTTTCATGGTTAGGTTTTCTAAATGGAATTTGATTTTGTACAAAAACCTTTGTTTTGTTTCATTTGTTAGTTTGTATACAAACATCCTATATTATTGTTCATACAGCAGTGTGTATAAGTATGTGTATATTGTCTCAAGTGCATCCTTATGCTTGGCATTCACAACAGTCACTGCAAGCACAATTTTATGTATTTGCCATGCTTCAAATTTTTTGGACTCTTTTTCCCACTTTCTGTTATACGCTACACATGTCGGACTCTCTCTCTCTCTCTAGTTTTGTGGCAGTATAGTCTATATTATATCTGCGTAGATATACTACATATGGCATTATCTCCCACTTTCTTTTAGGTGCACCAGCTTCCAATCTGGTAATTGTTGGTTAGTTATAGAAGTGTAAGGTATAGAATAAGTGTTGAGTTTGTCTAAATTCATGTTGGCCTCTCTGGATTTATTGACAATACTGTTTACTTTCTTCCGCTTTTTTTTATCTGGCCTTTTGTTTCTTCCTAGTTACTGCATTGTGTGTTAGAATCTTAAACTTATTCATCTTATTTTGCATGATTCTCAAAAGCCACTCAAATTCCGGTAGTCATTTTGTGTCAGCTAAAAAGCTGTGGTTTAATGATTCCTTGAGCTTGCAATAAACTGATCAATTGTTTTGAAGTTCTCGTCTGGTTCTAATTCATTTGATGTCTTGACGACATTAGTTTTCTTTCTGACAGAAAAAACCTGAAATATTTTTCACTCGACTTCCATTATTCTGTTTGTAGGGCTGTGGCTTCCCACCATGTACCTCGATAGTTTTAGAGAACTAATACTGGTTTAGAATGTGACCTAAGTCCTATGCACAGGTCTCCAAGACTTTTCTTTTTTGTAATCAGATGTGTATTCGTTGGAGCTGTGGTTGTGTGCATCAATTTTCATTTCCATAGTCCAATTGGATGGTAGTAGGACGTCGGAAAACTCTTGACTATTTTGATCGCATATTGAAGTTTATTATCATTTTATCTGTCTTGGGCAGAATTTTAGCTGATAATTTTGTCTCATGTACATTTATTTAGGAAAGTGAAAGCGAAGACGATGGCCTTGACATCGGCGATGATGATGCTGAGGAAGAACCTGAACATGAAGCTGAGGTGGCTGCTTCTACTGAACCGGTCATGGAGAAACCTGTTCCAGTTTCGGTTTCATCCAAAGATGCAGAACGACATATGTCTAAGAAGGAGCTCAAGAAAAAGGAAATGGCAGAGCTTGATGCAATTCTAAACGAGCTGGGCATTTCCAGCAAAGATAGTGATGCTGCACATCATGAGACAAATGGTAATGCTTTTACCTTTCAATTTAAAGAGACACTGAACAGTTTATATACATACATAAAATAGTAAATATTACATCTAAGCTCTTATTGTTTTATCGCATATTAACATCCACAAGGCATAACAATGATCATAACAATGACCTCAATCCATCGATATTCTCAGACAAGAAACAACTGGAGCAAAGTGGTGATGGAAAGAACAAGGAAAGTGCAGGTGCTCCTTCAGAGGGCAAAAGCTCGAAGAAGAAGAAGGCCAAGAAGGAGAAATCTTCAAAGGACACCAAGGAACAGGAGCAACAGCTCCCTCGTCTCAATGGAGACGACAAGAGTCCGGATGACTCAGTTGCTGAACCCCGGGAGGAGGATGCACCTGCAGTCGATGTGAAGGAAAGGCTAAAGAAGGTAACTTCCACCAAGAAGAAGAAATCAAACCGAGAGACGGATGCCGCCGCAAAAGCTGCCGCTGTCGAGGCAGCTGCAAGAAGTGCCCGGCTCGCTGCTGCAAAGAAGAAAGAGAAGAGCCACTACAATCAACAACCTGTAAGGTAATCTTCTTCTTCTTCTCTCTCATTCTGCGAGAAGAGAAGTTCCATCTAGCCAAATCCATTTGTCGAATCTCCAAATAAAAAAAAACATTGCGATGCCCGTAGATGACATGACAATATATGATTATTGTTCTCTTCCAATGGGATTCGGGTTTCCGTGTATCTATGCGTCCTGTAATGATTTATTTTGGTACTTTGGTACATTGTTAATTAGTATCTCGTGGACATTTGCGATGACTCTGCAATGAATGCTGTACGTATAGCTCAATCAAGATGCTGTGGAAAAATAGCACAAACATGGAAGCGGCACACGCTTCCGACCGACGGGGCAGATGGAACGGTGGAGACCTCCTCGTGTTCGTCTGTCTCCTCCACGAAGGCCCTCGGAGTGCGATCGGACTATCCACCCTCACCTGCGGCCTTGTTCCTCCACGTCTCCACCCGGCTTCTCATCTCCTTCCCCTTTCTCCGCCGTCCTCCTCCATCCCCGACCTCACTCCTGTAACCCACAGTTCCGTCAGCCTCGCGTTGGTCACTTGGTACATCCACTACGGCACTCCGCACGCCAGGCTGTCCACCGTCGAGTTCCACTCCGTTGTGCGTCACGAAGCACCCCCACCACCGGGTGCTGTCGCACCCTCACCTGGGAGCACCAATCCACCACCATCCCCCCGTTCTCCTCTCCGAGCTCCTCCACCGCTCCACTCCTGTTGTCCTTCCTCACCGCCAGCAGATACGGCCTCCCGCTCTCTTTCAGCCCCCGCAGGATCTCCTCCATCTGCCGCTTCTTGATCAACGCCAGGCTCCCGAACGACAAGGACACCACCGACCCCTCCGGCCTCGAGTCCAGCCACTCCATGTACCGCTTCTCGTCCGGCTCGAAGAGATCAGCTCCGGAGCACGCTACACCATTCATCTCCTCAAGAGGAGGATGCTACTACTGGCCCTACCGCGATCAGTTTGACCTCACTGACAACGGCGAGCGCATCCGCTTCCAGCTCGTCGAACGTGTTGATAAGAACCCTCGGCTTCGCGCCTGATTTCTGGCGATCCAAGAAGCTGAAGATTTCTTGGAACGACTCGAAGATCGACGTGTAGGGATCGTCCGGGACGGTGATGGTCAGCAGGCTGGGAAGTTCGCGTATTGTTACCGGCGGAATTCCCGACACGGCCACCTCGAAGCATGGATCGCAAACGCGGGACGCAATCACGCCACCGTAACTATGGAAGTAGTGGTGGTAAATGGCGAAGATGGTGGCCGGCTGGATCCAGTAGAGAACAGAGGGGATGCCATAATGACATGCGATGTCGGCCATCCATGGTAAGCTGAGGATGACGCAGGTGACGGGCCGGCCACGCTCCGCGAGAGACCGAACAATGGCGGAGAGGGTCTTCCAGCCGACGTCTCTGATCCGGGACACGTAGTCCCCGCGGTTGAAGCCGTCAGAGTAGGGGATGTAGGAGATGAGGCCATCGTCGACCTGTTGGTCAGGCTGGGCAGGCCCGTAACAAGCGGCAGTGAGCGGAGACGACGGTGGAGAAGGTCACGTCGGTGCGGCAGAGGCGCTTGCGGAGGCGGAGCGCCGGGTTGATGTGGCCTTGGATGGAGAAGGAGACGATGAGGAAGTGCTGCTCCATCCTTTTGTTGGACTGCAGTGGAATCACTTTCGTCTACAGTGACGAGCGGAGCTCATAGTGACGCAGCGCAATATATAGCAATTTTTAGTTATTTTCTAATATATATATATATATATATATATATATATATATATATATATATATATATTGTTGATGAAACCAACTTTAAGAGGAGAGATCTTTGAGAGTCCTTAGTGCGATGTTGATACAAATGGTTATCTATATAACCAACTCTACATGGCAGCAAATATCTTAACAAAAAGAACAACAGTGTAATATATTACAATTTAGAGAAACCGCATGCAAAAGAATACTTGAGAAGGACATGTATGCAATCAGCCAATTTACAAGAGCATATATGCATAAATAAAAGGAAATCGTAACATTATAAAAAGAGAAAAAGAATTTGTTCCATTTTTGCTGAACAGGTTGGATTAGAATTCTCCTCTTACCTACTGAGGTTTTGCAGGAGTATGCTTTTCTGAGAAGCACCAAACAACTCAAAGTAATGGCATGCTGTTCTCAGACATCCATTTGGAGAGATCATAACCCTGCTTTACCTTAAGGAGTGGATCATGAGCTCTGATAGCATATATAGTTTTTGGTTCTTGAACAAGTCTGTGCCATGACCTGCAACCAAGTTGATAATATTTGCAAGAATGTTTTGGAAAAGCTCACAGCTGATGCTGTTTGCGGATGATGCTTGATAGAAGCTAATTTGTATCAGCTTGTCGGAAAAGAATGTTGCTCTTGTACTCTGTGCTTGAGAAATTAGGAACAGTCCTCATGTCCTATACTGAATCTGCTTGCCTTCTGCTCCTCCAGACGAGGGGAGCAACGAGCATCCATACTGTAAAGATGAAGCATGTGTTACAGCAAAACACACTAAAGATCAAACATGCAACGGAAGAAAACAAACTGAAAGCTTAAGCTAGTTGATGAGACACGGAGTTTAGTTTAGTTACTTGTAACTCTAAACTAAACACTTCCCTCCCATGTCGCCTGAGAGAGAAAAATGGACCTCATAAAGACTCCAACATATGCCTTCCATTTCTACATGATGTTAAATGTGTATCTCTGCCAATCCATTCAGATGTTCAAGACATTCAATGAGATTCATTCTAACATTGTCCACCCGAGTCTCTCTCCTCGCAACCAAGAAATTTTGGATCATTTAGCAACAAGTACTGTTAGAACAAATCCAAAATTTGAAGATGGATTTTTTTTCTTTCATTTTTCTCACTGTAGCCAACTGTATCAGCTCTTACATACAAAGACCATTTAAGAGTAATATTTTTTGAAAAAAGAAAAGATATTCTACAACAGTTCTTGGGGCTTCAATTTTAGTTGGAAATATTTGTGCAGATGATTTAATGATACGGATGATACAAGATCAGGAGCAGAAGCAAACAATATCTTTGAATTTTGACCAGAGATGGGAATGTTTTTTTCGATGACTTACTGTAGACAAGTATTGCTACCCATTCATTGACGATTCTGACCCAAGTGCTGACCCATCCAACGTCTATTGTCCACCTGCTAAGCATAAAGTGATTGATCATTAAGTAGATTAGACAAAAAAACTTATAAAGCTTGGATATTTGTAAATGAATGGAGTTTTGGTAAAGGATTGGGGCAAACGGATGCATGAATGCTGATGAGAACCACTCAATGAAGAAAGTTTAAGCTCAAGGTGATGAGAACTCACTTTTGCATGGTATTATGTGCATTCCAGCCAACAAACAGCATGGCAAAGTACATTGCTCCCATCGCAAAAACAAAATGAAAAAAGCCATACCCATAGGGAACGTCATCTTCCAAGTCTGCTTCAGTTTTCCTGAACTGTGAGTGATCAAATTAAAGCCCATCGGTGAATGGAAGAACAATAAAGAATATAGTGGTATAAGTGAGATGGACCTGAAGGCATTTGGAGTCTATCCCTGTTGAAAATGTAGCAATCACTATTGCGAGGACACCAATAACAAAGCTCTGGCCAAAGATGGAAGCTATTAGAATGTATCGAGAAGCAATTCAAGTTCAAATTAAAATAACAATCCTATTATTTGATCCGAAGTTAAAATTTAAATATATCATGCTTTAGCTACTTCAGTGATTAATTAGTATTTAGATGCAGAGAAATTGCTAATTTCTTCCCAATGCAAAGACTGCTCGGTCTTGTTTCAAGAATGTCTCATCTCAAGCCACAACAAGCAACTATGTTTACCACAAAAAAAACAATTTCCTCCTGTATATTCAGCCTCAAATTGCACTGAGAAAATGTGTTCAAAGGATCAAACTAAAAATTAAGGCAGGAATCTGATATACGAAGAAGATAATTGTTCTTTACTGACTTGAGATGTAGAACCAGAATGCCAAAAGCTTAATCATTCATAAATGACATTAATTGGGTTTGAATGTTATCTCGCTTGGATTATGTTCACCATGGAATGCCTAAAACATCAAATTGGTGAAAATTTTCTATTTGGGATATGGAAGAACAAGGAAACCTTTTTTATTTGAATATACTATAATTATGATAAATTATGTAAAGATGATGGTCTATTAGTCTTTTTAGATTCACTAATACAGTTAAGACTAGCCTAAGAAAGTTACCACAATAATAAGCCAGTCTGCACTTGTTGCAACTGCTGCTTTTTTATTGCATATCTCTGTCTGCGGCTCACTGTATTGAGGATGGAACAGCAACACATTACAGAAGCCACAGGTTAAAATGAGGGTAGTAACATCGGTACGAAAACAAGGAACCAAAATAACTACCTCTTGATTGCACTCCAGCAAAGATACACAATATACATTCCCATCAACCCTGGTGCCAGAAATCCTGCTTTAACCTATTCAAAAGATGGATGTGATGAGATCTAAGAAATTATTCTAGTGATGGATTTACAGTATAAGCTATTTATCTATTTACCTTGGCATGCATAGATGCGAGTGTCATGAGTTGTAGAAGCACCAAAGTCAAGGTGATGAAAAGGATATTGAGCCTGCAGGATAAACTGGGCACATACCAGATATACATCAAGATAATTCCCAAGATGGATGCCACATACGCTGCGACTGACAGTACCATCACTTGGTATCGGCTGCAAGGAATTACAACAACAGATTTAACAGTGGAGAGATTAATCCAGATTAGCATCTGTATCACTGATTTACTGCATCATGTAATGCACAGTAGGAAAACAAACAATGACTCCAAAAGTGCTTGCACGATACACAAACATTTTGTCACCAAATTTCCAAGATTATATACAGCAATTGTGCCAACAGTGTGAGGCATGAAACTCTAGTACCATGGCACACCCAGAAATGATATATCTGAAAGGTAAACTGTCTAATACAATTACAATGACAAGGTGTTCCGCTTATTCAGAGTGTTGGTTTGTAAGAAACAAAAAAAAAAAGACTGATACAATAGATTGAAAAAGATGAAGCGTAAGAAGAATATTTGAAACAATGTTGTCAAGTTTTTGGAAAGATAATTTTTTCCAAAAAGAATAATGTAGAACCATTTGAGATGAATTTGCAGACTCAATTTCAGAATAAGGACACTACATAAATACGAGGCTTTGTGAAGCTAAGTTTTGTCGAAATATATATGGGAAGTTGCGAGGATGCCACTAATAAATCCAACAGTTTAAAAAATATATGGTCATAAACTGTCTAATACTCTTTATGTAGATTCAAACGGATGGATGACAAACATCGAAAACCTGATAAAAACCGAAAAACCCATCCATCTAAGAGAAGTTGTCAAACATAATAGTTAATATACCATCTCCTTGCATATCTGTCTGATTGACAGCAGTCATTTAGCCAAGTTATGAAACTGATCACGCTGATAAGTTGAATCATAAGAAATGCCCTGGAAAAAAAAAACATTTCAGAAAAATAAAAATAAAATCACTCAACATTATCTCATCAATTGTGTAGCAGATTAACATAACAATTAAATAAATGATGTCTTATTACCCTGCACCAAAGTGTGCAAACTTCCCTGGGAGAAGAAAAGGTGCAAATAAGAATCAGAACAGAAGCAAGTACAGAAATCTAAAACAGAAAAAAGGAAAACAATTGATAATGCTTAACTAAACTAACCATAGAACTGGATAAATGCAGAAGGCACGAAGAATGGTACCACCATGAAGCCAATCCAAATGATTATCTTAGCAGGCCACCATTCGGAGTGCCAGAAATTTCGAGAATCTTCCAATTTCTTCGTTCCTACAGTTGATAGGAACATGACAAAAAAGAATAACTGGCTTAAAGTTAAAGATTATTAGTAGAATTTCACTGGTGATGGCATATTAAACATAACAAAATAATTCAGAATCCCTTTGCATGGATTCCTGTTTAAGTGGCCACAATAAATGACAAGGTACTTCCTAGAGGCCAAGATCACTTCATATGATCAGATACACCCTAGGGTTTGTGCAGCAACATAAACCAGAAAATGGAGATAACTATTGAGAGGATCATGATAATCTTATCATGATTTATTTTTCTCAATAATATATTTCCTAATAATAACACGGAAGGATACAAAGCAGCCAAAGCTAATGCGGAGCACACCTTCCGCGCCCAAACAATAGCGAGCACCATGACAACCTTTCAGTCCTGCAGAGAAAAATCAAGCTGACTGAGCGAGTGAGAGAACATGCAACGCCATCCGACTTGGGAGAAGAGAAGCATTCACAGGTAAAGCACGAACTCTCGAGCTCGGAGAGGGCGTTGCGGCCATAGTCCCGAATAGTCCACGCGAGGAGGCAGGTGACCAGGAAGATGATAGCGTAGATGAACCTCGCTATGGAGGGTTTCGGCCCGAGGCAGTTGCGGGCGCAGCACGAGTCCTCCATGAACTCCGTGTACCTCTCCCTGCCGCCGCCGCTGCTATTGTTGCCGTCATTGCTGCAGAGTTCCTCCATGGCGGCGTTCGTCATTACATTAATACGTTTGGCGGTCTTAGATCTCTGTTCTCCTTTTGAGGTGATCAAACCTGTTCTTTACCGCAACCCAAAACGTGCTTCTTGTCATCATTATAAGAGGAATATTATATAGGTTCAATAATTACTCCAAAACATTGCACATAAAAGCCACTGTCGTCACTGACATGATTGACCACGCAAGAATCCGTGATCTCTCTCTCTTCCTCTCTCAACGCACTTTTTTCATCAGGTGCCTTAGATCTTACGGGTGCGGTTTAGATGACAGATATGGACAATCCCATTCATCATTAAATACTTAAGAAGAAGAAAACAGATATGGACAAAGAATTAAAGAAGCTAAGCATGTTAACCATTTTGCTTCTTTTGCTTAAGCTTT